TTATACGTATCGTATATAAAGTTTGTACATATATACGTACGTATACAAACTTTGTATGCGTATGTACGCATATAAACTTTGCATACGTGTGTATATAATGTTTGCATATATACGTATATAAAATTTGTATACGTGTATATATTACGTGGAGGGTCATTAAACTTCTTTAAGTGTGTCATGTAGGTCACTCTATTTTCAAAATGAACATTTGAGTTACTAATGTGATATAAGTGAGTCATTTACCCATCTAACTATCCACACGAGTGTGTGGATACTCTGTACAAATTTCATGCCATGTAGGATTGAAAAAAAATGCCCTGAGTGTGTTTGAAAAGCCATTTTATACTCTTCTCACTCGGCTATCATGATTTGGTTGTACCAAGACCTTAGGTCCAGCTTGGTAAACCATTATGATCCAGCTAATTTGTCCAATAATTTGTCAATGACAGGTATAGGGTATTTTGTTTTGATAGTAAACTTTTAACTTTTCTATCACATCGTTTCAATTTTTTCAAACTTCTAATTTTAACGTGGAACTAAACATAGCTTAATAGTAGTATTGTTAAAAATAAAATACCAATATTGTGAGGGTTCCACTCGATGTCAACAAGAACACAAAGCAAATCACAAGAATACACAAAACCTATAGGTAACTTAGATATTACTAGGTGCTTTAAGATATTTAATTAATATTACGCTTCAATCCGAATTGAGTCCCCACCGTAACTTACCACCGAGTTGCCATATGATGATCAGTTGCCTGAGCTCTCAGATTCTATATCGATGGGAAAGTATATTCATCCTGGAGGGAATATCCCCTCGGTTCATGCATGTCATCTATGTTAAATATGTGATCTAAATTTTAGGCTTACAATATATTCGAATTAGTTTCCTACTACGACTCTAAGTCTTTATCCACTAGGACTCTTAGATTTCTAATGTATCCTCTGCGTTTGTATCAACTCCTTTATAGTAATCATTGCCGATCAGCGTCTGTATTTTTTCCCGCAAGGATTTTTCATGTAAAATTTATGTCTCCGTTGTGCATCTAATCCTATTTTTTCCCGAAGGATTTTTCATGTAAAATTTGTGTCTCTGTTGTGCATCTAATTTCATAACAAGTGTATCTGAGCCTTTGAGATCCATCTATCAATCCCGGCCACCGGCGTGATTCCACGATCGAAGAAATCGATCTCATCTGATCGGCGGCAGCAGGCGCGTGTTCGTCGCGCCGTCTCGTCAATTCCGAATTTCCGAGTCATCGCCGTCCTCCTGACCGCGCGACCGCGTGAGAAAACGCTGGAGCAGCAGCGCACGTCACGAAGGAAAAAGCAGCAGCCGATGCACAGCCATCGCAGAAGGAGGAGCGCAAGAAAAGTAGGAGAAAAGCAGGAGGCCATCTATCGCGCACGGTTCCCAGGAAGATTAGGTCAGGAAGCCCACCGTTCCTGCCCTGTTCATGCGAATTACTACCTCTGTCAAAAAAAATAAGTGCAGCCATAGATATACGTGCTCAGCGTTTTGACCATCCGTCTTATTTGAAAAATTTATAAAAAATATTAAAAAAATTAGTCACACATAAAATATTATTCATATTTTATCATCTAATAACAATAAAAATACTAATCATAATCCTTTTTCAAATAAGACGAACGGTCAAACGTTAGACATGAACAGTGCTAAAACTACACTTATTTTGGGACGGAGGGAGTAAATTTCACGTTGGTTTTTGCTTCGTGCACACGAAGTTCTACCGGGAAATCAAGTCCTGTGCATTGCTTGCTATGGTTCTATTTGGTGAATCGCCCACACGCCAGTTTACCAGGAGATTTTATCCGGAGATCCAAATACTTCTTTTTATGCATCTAGAGTGTTTCACGTTTCTGCTAGGGTTCCACAATTTATACCAGCAGATTCAGGATTTTATTTCCAAGGCGAGTTTAAAGGTTGATCTACCGCTCCTGAATTGAGATGCAATATACTCATTATGGCAAGTGAAGATGCAAGTTGGTGCATATATTGAGGATGAAAAGGAAGTGTTGTCGTGCACTAGTCTATCAGTTGCGCATACATATTTCAGGACACAAGCGAAGTCATCGAGAGGGAGCCTGAAGGGTCCTGTCCAGATCACGTGGAGGATTACATAAATTCATGCCAGCAGATTCAGGATTTTATTCCCATGGCGAGTTTGAAGTTTGTGCATCGATTTCGCGTCTCTGCTGGGTTCCACAATGTCATACCAGCAGATTCAGGATTTATTCCCAATGGCGAGTTTGAAGTATGGTGTACCTCTTCTGGATCAAGGGTGTTATGGATTATAGTCCAAGTGACTATTTGGCGCACATTTATTTTATCATTACGAGGTTGTTTGGAGATTGAAGATTTTTATGCTATAAGGGAAATTCGTCTCAAGATGAAGATTGTTAAATATGTGATCCGAATTTTGGGCCCACAATATATTCGGATTAGTTTCCTAGTATGACTAGTCTTTATCCACTAGGACTTCTAGATTTCTTATATATATCTCTTGTAAGCCGCACGGGGAGGGTGCGACAGCCCAATGTATCCACTGCGTTTGTAATCAACTCCTCTATAGTGATCATTGCCGGTCGGCGCCCGTGGTTTCGCTGACGTGGCGCTGACGTGGTGGTATTGACCGGGTCTCCTTTACACGTGGCGTTTAGGTGGCATTTAGAATTAAAAATATATGTGGGACCCATTTGTCATTGACACCGAAAATAGATTGTGGGACCCACGTATCCCTTCCCTCTACCCTCCCTCTCTCTCCCACGGCGGGCAGAGACGGCGGCGAGTGGTGGAGACGGTGGTGAGCCGCGGAGGCGCGGCGGTGGCGCCCAGGCTGAGCTCCACTGCGGCGAAGACGGAGGAGACCACAGCGGTGGCGGCGGGAGGCACACGCGGTGGGGTACGGCGAGCTCGGCCGCCGCCGACCAGGTCTTTGACGCTGTAACCGGCGGACAGGAGGGCAGGCGGGTGAGGGCAGCGGCTCATGGCAGTGGGAGGACGAGGGGAGCCGGCGGCGGTGCGAGCGGCGGCTGAGGGACGGGGGCCGGCGGGCAGGAGCCGCCGCCGGCGGCGGCTTGTGGCAGTGGGAGGACGTGGGGAGCCGGCTGCGGGAGGGCGGGCGGGCGAGGGCGGCGACAGCTCATGATAGAGGGAGGACGAGGGGAAGCAGCGGCGGCGGCAGCGGCGACCGGATCATGGCGCTTCTCCTCTCGGTGGACGGCCGCGTAGGGGGGGTGACGGCGTGATGCGACCTCCTCGGCGGCGCGCTCTCCCTCATCCCTCTCCTTGAGTGGTTCTGCCTCGCCGTGGGGCCACGCGGTTTTGAAGTCGCTGCCGCGGCCTGCTTCTCCCGCCCGCCGTCGTTCCTCTCGTCCTCCCACAGCCACGAGCCGCCGCCGCCCTCGCCCGCCTGCCCTCCCGCCGCCGCCGCCGCTTGCTCCCCGCGGACAGCCGTAGGGGAGAGGGAGAAAGAAAGAGAGAAGGGAGGGGAGGAAGAAGAAAGGGAGAAGATGGCATGTGGGGCCCACATGTCAGTGGGCCTCATAATTGTGTGTGTGAATGACAAACGGGTCCCACGTATAGCTTTTTAATTGAAATGCCACGTCAGCCCACAGACTAGGTCAATACCTCCACGTCAGCGAAACCACCCTCCAAAACGGCCGAGGGAGTCAAATTGCACCGGTTTTCTTAGTTTGGGGGTCAAGATATCCGGTTTTGTGGTTTAGGGTCACGGATTAGATTTCAATCACTTTTGAGGGTCACCAAGTGAACTTATTCCTATTAGTTTACATGGATGAGAATTACACGGTCCATTGAGGCCCATGATACTGTGGATTAGGTTCGATGGGCCTTGAGGATCGGCGTCCCTCCAGTAATCCAGCGAATGGTTCAAAATTATGTAATGAAATTTCCGAAATTTCGATCATATCGGACCCCTTGATATGATATTATTTCGGCCGAAGTTTTAAATTTATATTATTTTTGTTGTGAATTTGGTAATATTTTGTTCAAATGTAACTAAAATTTATTTAAAATTTTGGAAATTTTGAACCAAAATTCGGTATATTGCCACCGTCCGGTAGAAACTTTCAAACCGAAAGAGTAGGGCCTGTTTGGTTGTTGTCCCCGTGTTCCTGCAGTGGCCTGACCTGATAGCTAGCCGCTTTGATTAGCCTGACTCAGAGCATCTCCAACAGCCTCTCTAAATTAGACTCTCCAAACACCCATATAGCCAACTCTCTAATTGATTTGTCAAGCCAAACTCATTCCTCACTCCAACAGCCTCTCCATCTACCCTCTCTATTATGAGTCTATGACATTGGAACCCACACGTCAGCCTCTACTACACCTTCCACCTCTTTCTCTCCCTTTTCCTCTTTCTCCCCCTCTTCCTCTTCTATTGCCATTCTTGAGTGACGCCGATGATGGAAGGGCTACGGGCGGCCACATCGGATGCGGCCAGGCGCGGGGACGGCCGCGGTGGATACGGCCGGGGGCGCAGGCGGCGGCGCCGGATGAGGCCGGGCGCGGGGGCGGCCGTGGCGGATGCGGCTGGGCGGCGGGGGCAGAGGTGGCGGCGCCAGATGTGGATGGGAGGTTTTCGGAGCCCCTCCTCCCAGGCGCCGACGAGCTCCTCGTGGTGGCCGACGTCGTCCTTGCGTCCCAGCGCCTGCTCGTGGTGTCCGATAAGCTCCTCGTAGAAGGAGAGGAGAAGCGCGAGTAGATGGAGCACTGGGAAGGAGGATAGCCAGCCTGGTAGGCTAGCCAAATTTGGCTAGTGGATGAGCTCGGATGGAGAGACAGTTCGCTTGGAGAGTTGAATGGAGAGTCTGTTGGAGTAGTGTTTTTAGTTCATTTGCTAAATTTTTAGCTTGGAGAGCTGAGTAGAGAGGCTGTTGGAGTTGCTCTCAAGCGACGAAAATCCAACGCCCGTCTCTCATGCAAGTGATAAGCTACTAGTAGCAAGATTAAGGTGATGTGAAATCTATGGGTCCCACTATTAATTACATTCTTTTTCTTGCTTTTCTTTTCTTTCTTCCCACCGATTGATCATGTTTGTTGAGTTAATACTATCTGTTAATATTGTCTATTAAAAGTAATTATTACAGTATGACATTGCATTATTCTTCTCAGGCACATGGTTCAAACCAAACAACTCATCTCACAGGCTGCTTGGTCAGGCAAATGTCTTCAAACTTTCAGCATAGCTTCATGTATGAGTTTTCATCATGTCACCAACCAAACAGGCCAAACCTGGACACCTGGTCCACCGTCTTCCTCTGGTTCCTTGGCGCTGTTGTCGGGACGAGAGCTACAGCCTACGCCCTACAGCGCCCTCCTCCGGTTCAGCCAGTACTTCCACCGCAACAGCTTCTTCTTCTTCCTATGGATCATCCTTGTCAGGTGGTGACGACCTGACAGCACACTGATCACGGCTAAACCCGCACAGCAGCGCCCGAGTAAACGAACCCGCCAAACCCCGGCGGCACGGCCACGCCGCGCCACCGCGCCGCGCCGCCGGCGTCCTCCATCACCCACGCCGCGTACTGCTTGCCGTCCTCCACCTTGCCGAACACGAACACGAACATGGCGGCGCCGTCGCCGTCGCCCGCGCCGACCGCCTTCACGCACGCCTTCATGCCTGGCGGCCCGTCCGCCACGTCCCTCCACGCGCCCCCGTCCCACTCCCGCACGCCGCCCTTCCCGGCGCCGACGGCCCACACCTTGCCGCCGACCGCGGCAAGGCACGTCTCCGCGGTGTTCGGCGCCATGTCTCCCTCGCTGGACCAGGCGGTTGCGTCGCCGGTTGTGGTGGTGGTGTAGCGCTCGGCGGTCTTCTTGAACGCGCCCTGGGCGTCGGTCGGGTAGCCGCTGGCGGCGAGCACGCGGCCCGGGTTTGCGACGAGCTGCGGCTCGTCGCGCTCCTCGGACATGTCCGGGAGCGCGCGCCATGCGTCGGAGGCGACGTCGTACGCGTAGGCGGAGCGGAGCGCGTTCTTGGACTCGTCGTGGCCGCCGGCGACGTAGACGACGCCGCCGCTCCCGGTGCAGCCGAAGAAGCCCCGGGAGTCCGGCATCGCCGCGCCGCGCCGCCACACACCGGCGGGGACGTCCAGCACGCGGACGTCGCGTGTCAGGCATAGCGCGGCCGGCTCCCACCCGCCGACGACGGCGACGTGCCGTCCGTCCCCGGCCGCCGCGCACCGCGCGAAGAACGGCACGCCCCCGCCCCACGCCTCCTCCTCCCCCTCCCCCGCGCCCTCCACGCGCCGCCACTCGCCCGTGGTGAGGTTCGCCGCGGCCAGCGCGCACTCCGTCGCCGCCGACGGCCCCTTCCCGTCGTCACCGCCGCGCGCTGGCGTGGCCTGGACGAGGAACACGACGTCCTCGGCCGCCCCGGCCGCCCTCCGGCGGCGGCGGAACGCCTCCGACGCGGCCGCGCGGCGCCACCCGCGGCACACGCGGCGCACCGCCCGGTGCGACCGGCTCGGCACGCGCGCCAGGCACTCCATGGCCACGTCGTCCGGCAACCCCGGGATGAGCTCCGCCGCCTCCGGCTCCACCAACGCCGCCCCGAGGAGCGCGCCGTCGCGCTCGATGGCGCCGCCCATGGCGAGCAGAGCAAGCAGCAGTGTGGCGTGTCTTTGCTTTGTGACGTGGAAAGTGGAAGAGAGGGTGTTTGTGTGTGTGGCTCAGTGAAGGAAGGAGGGCTTAGGAGGGTTTAAGTAGAGGGAGAGTGAGTGTGAGGACAAATTTGAGCTATGATTTCTCTCTCTCTTTTTTTAAAGTGTGCTGAAAATTAGATAATATGACGTCCGTAAAAAGAAATTCACTTTTATATATGAATCTGGACATAAATATGGACCTCACTTTTTTTTAACTACTTTGTCTAGATTTTTGTATTGAAGTGAAGTCTTTTTTTAAGATGGAGGTAGTGGTATTTTAGAAGGATATAGTGAAAGCGAAAAAAAATACAGTTGTACACGTAGTGGAGGAAGATATTCTTGTATATGGTGGACTATAAAGGTATAAGTTTGGTAAATTTGATCAGTGATATTTTCATATAGGAGTGGGGTAATAGAGAAGATTATTGAAGCACAGTAAGTGAAAAATAATAATATTGCTTATCATAAGTCTCTCCTTACATATAACTGATCTTAAACTAGGGAAGCCAAATTATGATAATGGACTCCGTTCCATTTATCATCGAATTTGATGGATTCTCCCTCAAGGAGTGTAATGGCCGCACCTACATTATGGTCACTAACATCTTAACCATCTGAAGTTAACCTCTCTTCGGTTTGTACATTAGGCATGGATAAATTGTGTGCCTTATGATAGAAGCTGAAAATAAAAACCATTTATATTATTTAAAGTTGTACATTAGGGGTATTGTTAATGGTTTATTAGTATGGCGTATACATTAGATCATGTTTAGCCAAAAACAAAAATTAATTTTCTTTGTGGAGCGTACACATCCATAAATTTTCTCTCGCCCTACTTATAGATCAATTCTATATATTGAGTGCAAACAAATTTTAGCCTTTGTATGAACTTGGTAAGCATACAACCGATAGGAAATATAATTCAACCACTGAATTACTAAAAAAAAAATCTTGAAGCCTAAATCCGACGACACAGGTAGACTTGACAAGAATCATAAAATATATTTACAAGAGCAATTTCCAGCGATAGTGATGATTTATCACTACATATCGTACATATATATGGTAAGATTTTTGACAAATAATGCATGGAGCTAGCATAAAGAGCTGTTAATTAAAGATGTGGTATCGATCATGCATGTGCACATAGACATGTGTATCGATGTTTCATTTCGTGTTTGAAGAAAATTAAAGCCACTATAGAAGTAAATCTATTTTTCACAACAAAAAAAATTGTTGCATTAAACCAAAATTCATTGCAACGGACACTAATTGCAAACAAAATAAAAATGTGTTGCCAACCGTTATAACAAGTGCCATGGTAATAGTATATTGCAACGAATTTTAAACTATTACATTGGTTTGTGCTATTGCAACAATTTTTTTTTCATTTATTGCCATAGTATGTGGCTTTGATATGTGTAAATATTACCACAAAATATCTGAATAATGTATGAACCGAAAGATGCATGTAAAAAAAGAAAGAAAATGACTTGAAATCTACCCTCTAACCTTTGTAATGCCATATGCAAAGTTGGATGCTCTTCTGATCCTTGATGTGAAAAGGATATTACATCTTGCCGATCATAATCCAATGTATACTTTGCCTGCAACCAGTCAAGAGGTTACCCACTTACTCTTTTTCTCAATGACGAAAACATGTTTTAAAATATATAGCATGGTCTTACACAGATTTTGATCGCTGCTCTCTATTTCTGAAATACTTTCAAATCTCAACAAAATTACAGTATTATAAAAAAAACATTTGAGACAAATCTACGTGCGTAGTACATACTTTTCATGCATCCAATCTAAATATAACATATATTGTTGTTTTGAAGCTTAAAAAGATTGACTTGGAACATATCTAATATTTCTGAACGCTAGAAGTTATTGTATTTTAGGAATACTATATATATCACCTTTTAATTATTGCCATCAACCCTCAATCATAGAATCTTTTGGGGAAATGAAAAGTGATTCTCCTATAAACTTGAGGTCACACCAGAAAAACTAAAGATTAGACTCTATTATTCTACAAATGCATATGTACCATTGTCCCACTCCCACCACTACATAGCATGTTGGTGTGTATGTGATTTTGTATGTGATTACGAAAGGGAATGTAGCCTAGTGGTTACAGTGACCTGAGTAGTGCTCCAAGGTCCTGAGTTCAAATCTCCTATGGAGCGAATTTCAGATTGGGTTGTTTGCGGGGCTAAGTTCCCTATCTTAATGGCCGTATATATCCGGTTGGATATAGAGGCCGGGTAGAAAATACCCTTCTCTAAAAAAAATGTGATTTTGTGGGCGCGCCAATATATATATGCCACAGAGCTAAGCATGCATGCAGCGTGAACTGAAGAGATGCGTTTCCCCGACCAAAAAAGGAAAAACAGAGAGGAGGAGATGATTCTCTAGAGAGGAAAAAAAAAAGAATGACCTTCTAGAAGGTGGTGAGTTGCACCGAGGGCCCACCAGCAGAAAGGTGCATGCAGCTTAGTGTTTTCCCTTTTCTTTTCAGTTTTCACTCTGCTGTGTCCCTGTGTCTTTTCGTTCTTTTCCCCCCGAAAGGCTATCAATGTGTGCTTTTTTTTTTTTTTGCCTTGGTCATTCCAAAAAAGTAAAAGGAAAAAAAATGATTTGCCTTGATAAGGACTAGCTAATTGGGAGTATGGAAAAATACATACTACTCATCAAGATTGCTATGATATTTTCATACTCTCTGTGTTCTGTGTTTTGCATACACGGTTATAGTATGGCAATGTGGCATTTGGTTGAGGAGAAAAGCTGTGGTAGATAATTAGGCCCTGAAAATTACAGCTGACATCATCTAAACGGTTCAATCTTCTCAGGCTCAGCAGCAGCTAAGCAACACACCGTCATCTTGCAGATATTTCTCATTCTACGTGCCTATTCACTTTGATACCATTTTCAACCATACCAAATTTTTTTTGGGTAAAGTTTCAAAAAAAACATCTACGTTTAGTTTGTTGTCAATATATAAAAAGTCCCACAAAAATTTAGCAATATTGTCATCCTGCTAAACTTTTGGTAAGATGGTAAAACTTGGTAAGATTTATTTTAGCTATAATTTGAACAGGCTTTATATATACTTGCAGATATTTTCAGTGTTTAATAACGTCTACAGTTATAAGCACATATATTTTCTTAGGCTTAAAATTTTTTTGATCCGTCACTATACTTAAGTGCAATCTTAGCTAGCATCCTCTCTCTCAAAGCTAGAGAGAGGTCGGCAGCAGCAACAGATCTAGTACAAAAATATCAGCAGAGCAGAGGAGTACAAAACCAATGTGTTGCTCGAAAGTTGTTCACTTTTTGATCGCATATTATGGAGTATCGATCACCTTTTGTGTTTGCGCCTTTTTGAAAATACAAAACCGATCGATCGAGTATTACTAGTAAGGAATCAATTCATGCAATCAATCCGATATTTCCGATCGAGATCGAGGAGGGCCGGATTTGGTTTTGGCGGCTGCGAATTTCGAGATGATGCGGAGGGGGCAAAAGGCGTGTCTCCGGTGTCTGGCACTTGAACGTGTCTAACCTTCTAGAAGCTAACCCATTCATCATTTAGAAACGGGTGCGCTCGGATTTCGGAAGGAGTGGTAACTTCTCCTTCACATACAGAAAACAATATTAACATATAATTAATTAAGTATTAGTTAAAAAATATAAATTTTAAAAATAAATTATTAAAAATATACCAGTTTGAAAAAATACACGCGAAAAACGTCGAGTAGAAGTTAGAAAAGGATAAATATTGAACACACCCTAGCCTAACATGAGCATGAATCCCATCCCTCTTTTCGTGTTTGCTTCTCGTAGAAAAAAAGAGTCGCGTCATATATTTATCATATATTTGGTTAGATGGACATCGAAGGCCCATTTCAAATTGCATAATTCATCTATTTCTTGCTGGCAGACCCCTCTAAACTTTGGGTCAAGCTAGATCTGACATTATCTATTATCTTACACGTGTTAAATTTAAAGGAAAAACAAAGATGACATATGTAAACTAGCATACTCCATCCATTAAGATATAACCCCAACGGTCAGAATTACACGTAAGGCACTAAATATCTTACGTCTCCGCTGACATTTGCTAGTTGAAAAAAAGTGGTCACCACCAAGAAACGTCCTTAGTCACCTAGCTTGATGATGCCCGCTGGCTCCGTCACTGTTATATATGCATGGTGTCATTTAAAATAGACAAATTAGGTGGTCATGCATTACATATATATCCCAAAAGCCACGAGGTGTCATATGCAATTCCAATGTTAATTTGTTCTAGCTCGCAGGGATGAGAATACTAGCGTGTACATGCTCAGAGGGCTGGTCCTGATGTTTCGGTGGTCAGGGCGAACTAAACAAATGGAGGTCCTTAATATTATATCTTCTACTAGATAATAACTAAACATTTGAAATGCATCCAAAAGCAAAAGCAATATTTATTATGTAAAACATTATAAATGTTGTCTTAAGATTTTCTTCAGATATTCCTACAGGCAAAGTAATTGATTATAGTATCAATATTAATCTCATCTAGCAATTTTATTTTACAAAAATATCTAGCAATTTCTTCTCAATACATGAAGTTGTCCTACCGTTTATCCATTTAATTTTTCGATGAAGTTGCCAGTGGCAGCAGAAAGTGTAGTGTGCCGGCCTCGTCATGATAGACGTGTAGCATATGAGTTATAACATGGTTAATTATAGACAAAATTTTTTTTGTTAGACCTTTTAATGGATGGAACAATATTTTGTACATGTAAGAAGTTTTTGTAAACAGATCGAATTCTATTGGCATAGAAAACTCACATGGAATTATAAATTGCAATTCTAAAGATTTTCTAGTCAAATAATAGGTAATGTGATTTGACACTATTTTGAATAGGAAACATGGCACTGCGAAAAACACACTGACAGAAAGAGAGCGGTCGTCATTATATTGATTTTTGTCATATGCAGCTAGTCTAGAATCAATGGAGATCGCCCTCAATTTTAAACACCCTCTTATACGATCTATTTTAAACACCCTCTTACACGTGGTGAAGACGAAACCTATCTA